CACTACAGCCGTCGTGGCTGCCACCGCCGCCGCCTCCACCGTCGCCGTCGGCTCCACCACCGTTACCGCCACCACCACTATCGTCACAGTTGCTGTCGTCGCAGCAGTCGCCGTCACAGTCATAGTCAACGAGTGCTGTCGCGAAAATCGTCTGGTTTCTTGGCCAATCGCTGGTCCAAGTCAACCTGATGACCCGATTCGACTCGCCACTCAATCGTACCAAATCGTGTTCTGTCTCTACACCTTCTTTGGTCTTGACGCGGCACTGGCATTAATTAAACTGGTTTTATTTGGAAAAATTTACTCGTGGAGAACACCCTGTCACGTGACATGATCGTAATAGGTATGCTTGAATTCGACGCGTGTTATTTCCAAATATAATCTCAAACTCGTTAAAGACCTCGTTGAAATTTCATTATTGAATGAGTGGCAAGAATAGATGCTATACTCGCCGATTAAATTACCTTTCTATACATATATCTGGCTAATCCATTACTCGAGGATTTCATGAACTATTGTATTCAATAGATTAGCTGTTTAACTGCGTGACTGTCATGATAAATGAACGATAAAATTAGAAGTGAAACTCGTGTCCATTAACATTACACGAGAGTAACATAATAATTTCTCCTAACAATCCCATTAAAACTGTTAATTCCTTTTGAAAAATATCGAAAAAATTATGACACGAGGTGTCAAGAGAAGCGAATAAGAGAAACGATCGGTTGTAGTATAAAACCACGTGCACCCAACACAAACCCTATTGATAGTGTAATAGCCACGCGATCCGTGGCACGCACCCGCAATGTCCCCCCTAGACAATCGGAGAACAGAATCCGAGATTCTCCAATACAGATGAACCTATGCATATTTGGCACATCACACCCGGCACGTTCCGTTGAGTCACCCTTTCGGTCTCAAGCACGCGCAGCAGACGTAACGCGGGACACATGCCGGTCGTACAACCGAATCTCGATACGGTGCACCAATATTTACTCCTAAATCGAATTGCTTACAGAGAAAATGTAAATATGACATTTCGCGAAAATAAAAAGGAAAAGAATGTCGTGGGAGGGAGTATTCAGTCAGCAATAATAATAATGATATTCCGCTGTTGGAAATTTGCAATTCGAATTACGAATACACGATATATTCATTTGTATTTGAATACGAATTTTGAGAAAGTATATAAATATACTTGCTTACTTCCAACTTTTCTGTCTCTTTTTTTTCAAAGTACATACAGTTAGTTAGATGGAGAGATTAAGTTTAGTTAGATTTTTTCTTGAGTGTTTGATTCAGTCGTATTTTTTTAAATACGAACATTTTATATTTTGATTAACTTTTTATTAAAATAGTAATTTTTATCTTTTTTACTGTTTTTAAATCATGATTAAGAAAAAAGAGGAAAATGAGTAATGCGAATAAAGATTGGACGAAAAACGGTATTGATCGTAGGCGAGGATGTGTATTGGGTCAATGATAATAATTTATCAAAAAGGTTAATTGTGGAACGATAGGTATCATATGCATTTCTTAAGCTTTTGTCTCTGTGACGAAAACTGGTTTCTCGTTCACCCTTTCTATTTCTTAGGGTAGGTAGGTGATAGTATCGATGCTGTTCCTTATTTAGAAAGGAGGACGTCAGAGATGTCGAGTTCAACCGCCAGAATCAACCGATCTTAATAATTCGACGCTTAACGATTTCATGATACACCGCTTCGTGGACTCATTTTTACTTTAACGGGATGTACGAAATAAGATGAACGTTGGACAATATAATTCATGTATCGATCTATAAGAGAAAATCAGAAAATCAGAAAATGAAAAGATGCAAATAGAGTCAAATTTGACTGAAAAGATTCGGATATTTCATATTTTTAAGTAATTCGAAACTAATTATATTTAATTTCTTTATAAGAACACTGTAATATGTAAATTGTAGTCAAAATAAAATTAATATAGAAATTTCGAATATCTATTGTTATTTTTTTTTTATTGTAAATAATTTCATAATTTTGAAAAATATTCATATCATATCTTTTTTTTTTAATAAAAAAAAAAAAAGATTTAAATCACTAAAAGTCAATTTGCCAAATTATTGAGTATAGTACTTGTTTGATGCTTCATATCAAAACAAAAAAAAAAGAAAAAAACACATGGGCAATAAAATTAATCCTCCATGAACAATTTCGATCACAACAAAATTTAATTTCTAAATCCCTTTGAACAGATTTGTATTTTATTGCCGGTGAACATTTTAAACATTTAACTAGACAACAATTCTAAATAAATGAAAAGAGTCTAAAACAATAAAAAAAAAAAAGAACGCCGAATCCAGATTACTCGTGGAAGCAAAAAATATGTTTATCCTCGTTCAGAATTAATCCCAATTGAGCCCAAAACTTGGGTTCTCCAACAGTTCTCTTGGCCTGCCTCGTTACCCGATCTTTCTGACCACCGGCCATTCCATAAATACCACAACATCGTTAAGATTTAATCGAGTTAATACCCGCTTCCACATTACCATACCCAACGAGCCTCGGAATATCCTCGGTATATTCCTCGTCTAAACACGAGACACAACGGGACGAGTTCTCAGTCATCAACGCAGCAGACTCATCTCGTACCATTCGCCTACCGTCGTCGTTGCAGAATAAACCTTATCTCCGGCCTTAGAGATAAGGGGTCTTCGATCTCGGTCCGTGTCATAAACAGAACGCCGGCATAAGAAAGAAGATCGGTTGAACGCACACGATCGTCGATGGTGTATAGTCACTGGCCCAGAGGAGAGAACGTCGAACCGAGAACGAATCTCGTCGGCGAAAGGCGAAACGTGTAGGCCGATAGGCGCATTGAGATACGAGGTTTCGCGAGTGGAGAAGGGAGAAAGGAGAAGGAGGGAGAGAGAGAGAGAGAGAGAAGGGACGAAAATGTAAAAATGCGAGTTTTACGAGACGCTTGGACAGCAGCATTCCACGGACATACTTGGAACCGGACACCGGGTTCGTGGAACCGGGACGGTCACTCGAGAACTATGCTATTTAAAGAAAGGCACACCGAGGAGCACCCCGTTTACCGTTACTATCAACCTCCGCCGACCTTTTGCCCGTCACTTACGCGGCCAGACAAGTTGAATCACCGTGCCTCGGCTCTGTTGCAATCGAGATTTCATGGTTAACCCTTTAACCAGGATACACACGTGCATTAGTATTTTTATTTCGCATACGAGCGATGATATCGGGCTTTTAGTATCGTTAATGGCGCGATGTCTGTCTGTCCGACGTAAAATGGGAATAGATGATTTGTTGAATATTTAATTTACGATATATTCTGTACCGTTGCAATTGAATTTTCGTACCTAAAAAAAAAATATATATATGGTTAATAATTGATATTTTTATTTGAAAATTGTCTATTTATCTGATTCATATTTCGAAATAGAATAAATTAATTTATGGAATGGATCAATTGCGTAATTATTTTAAGAAAGAAAATTTATCTAATTCCACACATCTAAATTTTAATATATTGCTATACATTCATTGAAAAATATGTTTCGAGAACAATATATCCCCATACAAATTTTTGTTAGAAAAGTAATAACGAGAGAAGAGATAAAACTGACATATAGAATAAAGAGAGTAAGCATCGAGATAATGCCAAATTCTCATTTCAATATCAACGAAAAGTTTAAAAGTTTAACAACCAATTGTTCGCTCTACGATTTCACGAAAGAATAGAATTTAACGTAACCATAAAGTGCAAGACGAATTCTGATAAACGACTATGGTACCATTCGTTTCGCGTTGTTTTTCACTTTAATCCTTTTCGTCTGTAATCCTCTTATACCTTTATGAGACGAGTTGGATTCGGAACTAACGAAGCGTCGATATTTTCATCGGGCACAGATTAAAGCATATCTCTTGCCGTTATCAAAACCGACGGAATATTTCTTTCGTGAATCTACATAAAATGGAATTTTGTTAAAAAAAAAAAAT